TGTTTCCAGTTTCAAGCAGCTTCTCGTAAAGGCCCAGCTCTGTGGTAACTTTCAGTTTTAGGATCTGAAAGAGAATTTCAGAAACTTTCTTACAATTGAATTATCAGAAAATGCAAAAGACCCTCCGAAGACACACTCAAGGAAAGCTTATTAAAACAAATTCTTCTGGCCCTGGCCGGTTTGGCTCAGCGGTTAGAGCGTCGGCCTGCGGTCCCGAGAGACCCGGGTTCGGTTCCCGCTAAGGGCATGTACCTCGGTTGCAGTTTGTCCCCGGCTCTGGTCAGTCGTGCGGGTGGCAGCCACTCGATGTGTCCCTTCACGTCGATGTTTCTCTCTCTCTCTCTGTTCCTCTCTCTCCCTCCCACTCTACCTGAACAAAAAATGGAAAAATGTCCTCGGGTGAGGATAAAAAAAAAAAAAACAAAAAAAACAAATTCTTCTGCCCTGGTCGGTTTGGCTCAGCAGTTAGAGCGTTGGCCCACAGACCAGAGAATCCCGGGTTCGGTTCCCACTAAGGGCATGTACCTTGGCTGCAGTTTGTCCCCCGCCCCGGTTGGGGTTGTGTGGGGGCATCCAGTCGATGTGTCTCTCTCACATCGATATTTCTCTCTCTATCTTCCCCCCTCTCTCCCTCCTGCTCTATCTGAAGATAAATGCAAAAATGTCCTCAGGTGAGGATTAAAAAATAAATGAATGAACGAATGAATGAATGCAAACAAACTAATTCTTCCCAAGTCAGGGAAAGCATCCCTGGCCAGCCCACTCGCAGAGTAAGGATAAATGGACCCTGCAGCCACCTAAAACTGTACCATTCACACCCCATCATGACAAACTGCTGTTTCAACTTCTCCATTTGCTTCCAAAACTTGATTTTTTTTTGGAAGGAAAGAGTCATTTCAACTTGTCAATATACTCCTAGTTGTTATTATACTTTTTTTTACAGTGAAAAGTCATCTCTGAAGCTGATACTTTCGAAGCTCTAATAGCTAACTAGAAATCTTCAGTCATTTTCAAAGTTCATTTAAAGCCTCACCCTTCCTGGCCTGCACAATAAATAATGTGTATTAATTCAGTGATTGAGAAGCCAAGAAACAAGGGGAAATTTTTTTTTAAACCATTTACACTCTAAGACAGCCCTCTAGTCTCACACACACTCTTCAGGTTTTTAACCCTTTCACTGACAACCCCTCTCCCCTGCCTAGGCATTTTCTGTGGCGCAACTTAAACCAGATCAAATTTTTGTTTCTATTCTATTTTGACAGCTCAGCACTGTCTACCAACACTGAAGAAGGCCCACATATGTCTTCCTTAAAACACCCAGCAAACAGACTTAGTAACAAAGACCTCCTGTGCCAAGGGAATCCACCCACGCAGAAACAGAGGGCTGGCCTTGGGTCAGCCGGTTCTTCCCAGGTCACCACACTAGACTTTTGGAGAAACAGGACTCAGTTTCCAGAAGCTGCAGGATCCAGGGTCATCTGTCTAAACTCTGGACTGATACAGGCGCCAGGAGAAAAATCTGCAAGGGACCAGTTTTAGGCCCTTTATCAGAATCAGTGAAGACTGACAGACAAGCCCAAGTTAAAGCCTATGCATTTCTTTCTTTCTTTTTATTTTTCTTCATTGATTTAGAGAGAGGAAGGGAGAAGGAGAAGGAGATAGAACATCGACTGGGAGATCGAACACTGGACAGAGAACATTGATTGGCTACCTCCTGCATGCCCCACAATGGGGATTGGGCCCACAACCTGGGCACATGCCCTGACTGGGAATTGAACTGGTGACCTCTTGGTGCATGGGTCGATGTTCAACCACTGAGCCACACCAGCCAGGCAGAAGCCTATGCATTTCATAGGAGGCCCCACCAGAGAAAAGGAAAGAGAGGGCAGGAAAAATGGTCAGCTAACTTTTAAAAGTGACAAAGAGCCTTGGCCAGTTTGACTCAGCTGTTAGAATGTTGGCCCTCGGACTGAAGGGTCTGGGATTCGATTCCCAGTCAAGGGCACATACCTGGGATGCAGGTTCGATCCTCAGCCCTGGTCTGGGTAGTGCGGGAAGCAACCAATCGATGTGTCTCTCTCACATTGATGTTTCTCTTTCTTTGTTTCTCCCTCCCTCCCTCCCTCCCTTCCTCCCTCCCTTCTACTCTATCTATAAAAATCAATGGAAAAATACCCTCCGGTGTGGATTACAAAAAGTGACAAGGAATGACACACCAATCTGCATGTCCAGAACCGTGCTGTGGGCTCCAGATCCAGCTCTGTTCTTCGCAAAGCTGAGGTCACCTGTACTGTCTGTCAAGGCTCTCTCGTCACCCTGTAAACTGTGACATGGGCTGGCAAAGGCCACTAGGCAAATACCTAAACCTCCATGATCACTTGGCTGCATTTAATATTTTAGCCATTTATCTCGTAGCTGCTCCGGCTGGCATGTGCCACTAATGTCACCAATTAATTAAGAACAAATTATGAGCAGAAAGACCTTTGACATAAGTAACAGCTTTCCTCCCTTCCTCTTCCTTTCCACCCTCCTCTGGTCTTCAGCTCAGCAGTGAAAGCTTCACCCAGGGAGGGCTGGGCTTTCCTGAAGGCCACCAGATAGTTGTTTGGTGGCCAAACAGGGAATAAAACTCTCAGAACAAGGGGAAGAAGACATTTCAGAAAAGGAGAGAAGTCCCACCGGGAGGCCCTGGGATGGTAACCCCAAACCACAAAAACTTGCTCAGCGGATTCTGCAGTCAGAAAGCTCAGAGCAGAACCCCAAAAATCAGACTGTCAGGGGTGTGCAGGTATCCTGATAATGGACAGGGACCTTGGGGACAGGCCGTGACATTCCAGGGGACAGAGAGAATTATATGGCTTTGTATGAACATCTATATCTCCTTCATTCTACATATGAACAGTGAGATGTTATTTCCTCTAGGGACCCTTTCCGGACCTCTTCCTAGGAGGTTCGGGTTCTGAGGACAGGATCGTCACACTCTACAGGAACATCCCATCCACAGATCTGTCCTCCCTGCCAGATGGGGACCTCTGTGAAGAGAGACCCTGGCTCCCTGGTGCCCTGCCCATGTGGTCACATCCCCACTTAACCCCACTCCTTGATTAACTGAGTCATTCAATGAAGACCAGGGATGAAGTTACACATTTGCAAATACCTTTCATCTCTGTCTCAGGAGAGATATTTCTCTTGTTGTTGTTAATCCTCACCTGAGGATATTTTTCCATTGATTTTTAGATGGGGGGAACATCGATGTGAGAGACACACACCAATTGGTTGCCTCCTGAATGAGCCCAGGCCGAGGATCAAACCTGCAACCCAGGTATGTGCCCTTGACTGGAAATCAAACCCAAGACCCCTTCGTCCACAGCCGATGCTCCAACCGCTAAGCTAACCTGGCCAGAGCTCAGTAGAAACTTTTCTATGAATCAGGCTCGAACAAGCCAACGTCTAGCAAACAAGTTGTGGAGACAGTGACTAAGGAAAAACTATCTTGGTTCTTCAGTTAAAACACATCCTGGGCTCGCCCTCCACCCTCATACAGTTGCACAAACATGGGCATCTTTTGTCCTTTGGAAAGGCTTCCCCTCCTCTCCAGTCTGACTTCTTGGATCTGATCATCAGCCAGCCACTGGCTCCTTCAGTCCAGGCTCTCGCCAGCCCCGGTTACCGGTGGGACATTGCTCTATTCCAAGGGAGTGGAGCACCAGGAGTCACAGACAGTGCCAGCATGTGCCTGGCCCCAGAGAGCATGGCTGGCCACGCAGGCTGCCACACCCATCCTGCACCTTCCTTGCCCACTGCCAGGCCTGGGCCAAGGCCAGGTGCCAGAAAAAAACCCTCAATGTGGGTGGCATGAGGAAAGAAGGACCAGGGGACCCAAGACAAAGGCGTCTGTGTCCTACCTCCCTCCCCTCGTACTTTACTATGTCAGCAACGAGAACCAACAAGGAAAACAGAAACAGGAGGGACCAAGGTGGGAATGTCCCAGCCTCATTTGCCTAGCACTCAAAAGGGCAGATTCATTTAAAAAGTAAAAGTGAGCATATAAAATAATAACCCTACAGAGATGACTGGGCCCTAAGTGCCCTGGGCACACTGCTGTCCTCTCTGAGAGGGGCCTGGTCTGTCACTGGTCTTCAGCACAGTGGCTGTACGTAGCTCCTCCCTTCACCTACATTATCAATATTAAATGTATTTCTGAGCACGCTCACAGTATAATTGGCTCTTGCTCATTACCCGGCTAAAGAGGCAGCAGTAGACGGCACCCTGGTCTTTACCCAACAGATGGGAGACGCCTGTAAGGAGAGAGGTTAAGTGCCCAAGGCCACGCAGCTGCAGTGAATCCCTGGGACAGGAGTTTGTACTTTTCATTCCAATGAGCTAACCTCACCCCTTTAACAGGATCCAGTTTGAAAAAAAATACCGTGACCTGGCACCTACAGAACTTTGTAATTTTTAAACTATGTTCACTGCAAACCTGGCTGCATTTTCTTTCTAAATGCAGTAAGTGGCCTGAAAGATGGGCAAGACAGGCATTGTTACTCTTCCCTACTTAGGAAGAGAAAACTGCAGCCCTAGCAGACCAAGGAAGTCTGACTTAGTGCTCTTTCCAATGGGTCATTTCTTATGCTATGATCTGGAAAGGAATCCTCAGGCATGTCCAAACTCAAATCATTATACTGAGTCCAATTTTGACCACTGATAAAATGAGAAGGAACAATAGCAGAGAAGCCAGACAGTGCCAAAAATACCCTATGGCAACAACCATTTGTTATCATCCCCTTGTTCTCTCTACTGAAGTAGTTGACCAAGAAACTCCTACCTGTATGTTAGAGCCCTAAGTTCCATGCCCTACTCTGATTTCCTGCTGGCACTCCCTCCACTCCAGAGCCTCCCTCCCAAGAATGCCTGGGGCCCCATTACCTCCTCTCTCAGAACCCAGCTCAAGGGCTCTGCAGTCATAAACATATGAGCTCACATTCCGGCACCTCACTTACTTGTTCCCACCTGATTCCATTCCTCCATTCTCCCCCTTCAGTACTGGTGTAGCAAAAAGAGGCTGAGTTCCAGCTCATGTCATTTTGCTGTAGCTGTTTTCTCACCTATGAAATGAGACACAGTACGTGCCTTTTCCCACCTTCAAAGGAGAACTAAAAGGATTGAATGACAGAATATAGGTTGAAACAATACAAAAATATTGCAATATACAACTGCAACAGCAACACACAAGCATAACCAGGCATTCAAGTAGTAAGACTTTTAGAAATGATGACAGGAGCTAAAATCATTTGGGTGCTTGCCATGTACCTGACACTATTCTTAACACCCTAAGTGTGTCATAATTAATTCCATAGCAACAGATGGGTACTATTATTAACCCCATTTCACAGATGAGAAAAATAAGGCACACAGAGGTTTCGGTAACTTGACTAGGTGCCACCCAGGCAGTCTGGCCCCAGCACCTGTGCTGCTAACCTGACCCATTCTATTCTTAATTGATATGCATAATGCCTCTGAAATCATCTGTCATTAGCTGGGCATGTTAAGGGTTAACCCACAAATGTGATCCCACCTGAGCTCAACAGCCTTATCAAGTAGGTAAATAAAGGATACTATTCTAGGAGACACCATACCAGAGAAACAACTCACCCAAGGTTTCAAAGCTGGTTAATGGTAGAACTCGGACTTAAATTCATGGGCCTTCCCCTCCCCCCTCCCACTTTGGAGCCCTTTCCAGAGGCCTCCACACCAGCATCAGCCTGATACTCACATACCCTTCCCCAGCCCCCACCCACAGGTGCATCTCCAATGTAGCCTTTATGGCCACGCCAGGGAACAAAAGCTGGGCCTACCATGACAGATCAGGGTCAGGGGCTTTGCCAGCCAGACCTCAGGGTACCACAGCTCTCTGAGTCTCCCACTGGATGTGTCCAATGTTTCCAAAGGCTGGTGGTCTCAGAGGAAGTCCTCTCAGTGACACGAAGCTGCAGCCCCCAACTTGACCACAATGGTCAAGTTTCCTAAACCTGTTGTGTAACAATTGCTTCAACCAAGCTGCTGCTGGGATTTCTCTCTATTTCAATATGTTTTGTCTTCTCTTCAGAAAGAAAGCATGAATATGAAACCATAACACCTTACAGTAACCAGACAACGGCCCTTCCCACCTGTCTGGAATTACTAGTAGGGTGGGGGATGTTTTCCAAGTCCTCTACTTTTGGCTTCCAGAATGACTCACAACCTCGGGGGGTGGGGGGGACGACAACTGAGGGCCACTGTGTGTTACAGGGGAAGGAGCCAATGCGAGAGTGCCCACAGAGAAGCCAGAGTGATGCTCCTAGCAAGCTCCAGACTCTCCAGACAGCAGTCTGAGGCCCCCGAGTCCAGACACCCCAGACCTTATGCCCATTTGAAAGTAAAGATCAAGTTGGGCCATTCTTCTCTTTAAAGGGACTAGTCCTATCACCTAAGCTCAGGGTCTACTTACAGGGAGCACATCTGGGAACAGGGACTTATTTCTGTTGCCTGGTGTCTCGCACAGAGCCCAGCAGGGAGGGGACTCAGCACGTGTGGAATGAAGTGGGCAGCCAGGTGAATTCAGTCTCACTGGGATATAACTGTGGTTTGCAGGACAAACAAAAGAACAGAGAAAGTATTTTTGTGGCCAAGACATATTATGGAATCAATAAAAACAACACAAACAAAATAAAAGCAAGCATTTGTTTAACAGCAGTTTTAAAAGCATTCTTCTTTGCATCCCTTGAAAATTACAAGGCCTTCACTCATTCAGCCACCACTCACAGAACACCTGTGTGCGCCTGGCGTGCCTGGGCGGGGGGTGCTCTGGCTCTCTGTGCATGAGGTAGTTCAGGATTTATTCTGAAGGCAACAGGGACAGCTAGGGGAATATTAGGTGGGGAGAACCCACCCGTGGTGAACTGCAGGCTGCTCCTTGGCCTCCCTCCCAGGCCCTGCTACTCCCTAAAGGAGGGGTTGGATTTTCCTTGAGCAGGATCCCAGTTTGGTAATAAACACCATGACCTGGTACCTACATAGAGCCTTATACTTTTTAAATGGTAGAAGGTTTATTCACTGCATTTTCTTTCCAGATGCAGTAAGTGGGCAGGACGGCATTGTTACTCTACCCCAGTGACTTACAACCTTTTTCATCTCATGGCACACATAAACCAATTACTAGAATTGTGCAGCAAACCAAAAAATATATATTTTGCCAATCTGACAGAAAAAAAAACAGGTATAGTTTTGATTCATTCATACCGGATGGCTATTGTTGTACTGGCTGCTGTCATTTTTTAAATTTGACAATCTTAAGGAAAAAGAGGTCGGGGCCCCTGACTATACAGTCAGGTATTGCATGTTTTAAAAATTCCTGTGGCAGGAGTGGGAGTGGGGAGGAGGGGGTCAATGGAGGGAAAAATGGGGAACATTTATAATACTTTCAACAATAAAGATTTAAAAAGTTAACATAATAAACGTATCAATGTATGAAACTCTCCAATTAAAGGCGAAAAGTTTATCAGAATGAATAAAAAAGGGAAACCAAACTACATGCCTTCAACAAAGTTTGACCTTTAAATATAAAGACACAGGCTGAAAGTAAATAGATGAAAAAATATTTTTAAAAATAAAATAAAAATTCCTGTGGCAAAGCAGCTGATAATCGCTGCTCTGCCTGTTGAAGAAGAGAACAGTGCAGCCTGCCAGGAAGCTGGAGGGGCCGAGGCAGGAGCAGCAGCACCCGCTGTGTTCAATTTGTGGTAACTCAGTAAACAAACACTACACTCAGCAACTTACTCTGCACTGCTCCGACTCTGGCAATGGGAACACACGAGAGAGAACAAGAAAGCAAAAACTTCCTGCTCATTGAGCGCTTACCTGTGATGAGCGGAGACAGAGCATAAACAATATAAATAATATTACAGTTATACATAAAATATTCAAACAATATGAATAACATAAATACATGTAAACAATATAAATAATGAATATAAGTAAATGGGACCTTATTTAGAAGGTAATAAATGCTGTAGAGAAAAACAAAGCAGGGCCAGGCCATAGGGAAGTGTGGGTGAGGGGCAGGTGGACTCTGTTGTGACTTGGGTTGTCGGGGAAGTTGTCAATGAAGAGGACAGTGTCCCCTAAACCAAGGTCATAGCAGTGGGGACAGAGAGAAGGCAACTGAAGAGGTGTTACAGATGCAGGAATGTCTGGGAAGCATGTGGTGGGGAGGGGAGAGGGGACAGAGGCCGAGGGAAAATGAAAAAGACCACCAAGTCTCTGAGACAGGGGCCCATGCTGAAGGCAGGCTGACAGGTCAGGGTGTCCACACTGGACACACTGAGGCTGAGGACCCGTGAGGCAGCCAAGTGGACACGTCTGAGAGGCAACTGGATACCCAGCACCCGGAGAGACACCGATCTGTAGGTTATCAGGACCCAGGAGAAAACTGAGACGTGTCCTGGGGGAAGAAAAGGGAGTGGAGGGCAGCATTCTGAGGAAGACCAGATGCTGCAAAGGGACTGGCAGTAGCCAGACCCAAAGGGAAAACAGAGAGCTAGAGGGTCACGAGACACCCCTCAGGGAGAGAGGTGTCATCAGCAGGGGCTGGGTCAACAGCAGCAGAACGATGACTAAGTTCATCCTGGAGACCACTAGCAGCCTCCCTGAGGGTTCAGAGGAGTGGTGGGCACAAAAGCCAGAGGCCTGGGGTGGGGGGAGGCATCCGGGTAAGGGAGCAGAGACCAAGTGTCAATGATCCTTTTAAAATATCTATTACTTTAAAGAAAGAAAAGAAACAAAAGGCAACAAGATTTTGTCTGTTTCCAGGAAGAGGGTGGTACTTGGGGCACCTGGGGTCACAGTAAGATGTCTGTGGTTTGTTTGTTCATTTTAAAGGGGATAGGCTTGGACCTGGATAAATGATTTTAAGAAGGAACCATGGGGGAAGCTGAAGATACTGGAACTGGGTTACTCAAGAGAGAGAGAACCAAAGTAACTGCCACTGTGGCCCTCTGTCGAGAATGTATGCACCAGACACTGCAGCGGGAGCTCTGCACATGTGGCCTATTTAACTCTTCCAACAACCCCGTAAGGCAGGTGTCGGTATTAAGGTGCCTGCTTTGCACACAAGAAAACTGAGCTTAGAGAGGTCAAGTAGTGTGCCCTAGGGTGCTGCCAGGATTCAATTCCAGGTGTGAGGGTGGGTCCACACAACGCCCTTCCCTGCCCCCGATGAGTCACCCAAGAGGAAAAAAGGACCCTCCTACCTAATGTAGGAGGGGTGGGGGACAGAGGGCGAGTTGGAAGAGACAGGAAGGGGACTTTGATTGGGGTCCGGGTTACTAATGAACCAGGAAGCAAGATGCCGTGCAGATGCTGGAGAGAGCGAGGAGTGGAGGCTGCTTATGGAGAAGAGCGCGGTCTGAGCAGCTGAGGGGGAGGCTGGAGGCAGCCTGACCACACCCCTGGAAGCACAGGCTGAGGACCCGAGAGGCACGGGCACACAGAGTGGCTATGGCTTTCTCCTGAAGGACTCACAGCCCCGGAGCTGGAGACTATGTCCAGGACTTGGGTGTGGGCAGGCCAGTCTTAGAAGAACCAAAGACAGAGAAGCTGAGGGCCTGGTGGCAGGAGGGATGGGCCAGGGTCCAGGCTAGATGAGGAAGTCAGGACAGGACGAGATGGGGAAGACCCAGTGTGACCATGAGACAGTTGTGGCCAGGCTAGAAGATGTCCGAATTTGGTGTTTCAGAGGCGGGAAGGTTCTGAATTAGGACCAGGCCCCAGGAGGTGAGGTAAAGGCCATCAACCTAAGGGGTGTAAAAACAGAGGGATTTGGATGTTAGTCGGGTGGTGAACCAGAGGGCACGTTCTCAGGTGATGATGGGATTTGTGGAGAAGCAGTCCGTGAGCCAGCACCAAAGTCTGCAGAGAATGAGGGAAAGTGACTGCACTCACGCTGAAGAGGACAAGGACGATCATGACGAAGACACCAAGAGAACATTCACTACTCAGCAGGCACTAAGTGCTTTGAGAACTTAACCCTCACAGCCACTCTGGGACATCAGCACCATCTTCTCCCCTTTCTACAGATGGGAAACTGGGCACAGAGAGGTGAAGAAACTAAGTGGGACCTGGGACCCGGTCCAAGCAGTCTGGCTCAGGGTTCATGCTCTAACCATTCTACACCCTTCCTCTCAGCATGGGAACTCAGGCTGGTGTCCCAAGTGAGTGGATGACAAGAAAGGGAAGAGGGACTGATGCTGGTGAAGGTGGATGGCAGGAGCCTCAAAGGGAAAGCGGAGGTCTGTACGAGGGCGACTGAGTAACGGAGAGAAGGAAGCGGCCCCACCCCCACCCCTGTCCCTGACCCAAAGGTATCTGGGTTTGCCCTGACAGGAACCACCTTTCTTGGATTTCTATCAGGACAAGGAAACGGAAGGACCACTGGGCACAGAAGTAAGGGAGCTTGTTACAGAGAACCTCCACAGGTTGGTGGAAGACGAGGGAAGAAGGGAGCAATGGAAAGCTGGGTCAGGAGAGGGAAAGCAGGAAGAAAATCAGATTAGGGAATTAAAACTCAGGAAAGCTAAATGTCCTGCCCGACCAGGAAGTCAAAGACTGGGTTCTGAAGGTCTCCAAGATAGTTCTCTGAGGGTGAGAAATGCCAGCTCAGAAGGCGCCAGAGGGAAGCATTAGGGTTAAAGAGACAGTGGTCAGACACACCCCTCCTGTGAAAAGCCCACTGTGGACATTCGAGGTGGAGGTGGGGCGGGCAGGGCAGGCTTTGGGAGAAGCAGGGCTCCCGTGCCGCCTGGAGTGCTCCAGCAAATGTCTGTGGCCAGCACCCAGGGGACCAGACAACTCGTGGAAGATAAAAAACAAACACCAAGAAAATTCCTTGTGAGGGAAAGGTTGGGTACTAGGGGAGATAGGAAAAGACCCAGAAAGTTCTAGAGTTCAAAAGAGACTTTCAAGGGCTTCATTCAACACAAGCCAGTTCATCCAGTGGGTCATGGGAAGGCAGCCCTCCTGAAGCAGGGAGGGGTCAAGAACCCAACCCTGTCATAAAGGGGAAGTGGGACTGAAGTACTGAGATCAGTCACTGCTCCAAGGAGCAAAGGGACAAAGCCCTCGTGAATGAGACAACCATAGGTAGCTAAAACGTGCCCAAATGGAAACCAGGAAAGGGATGGAAGTGTCCTGCACAGAGCACCACCCTCCCTTCCGTGTGACACCCCCAACGTCCATGTGTACACTCCTGCCTGGTCACAGGCACTTAAATCCCCCCATTAAGCCCCAAGTGCCTCTCCCTAAGGATGAGCTAAAGTCACCTGAGACCACCTCCACTGCCCATTGTAATGCTAGGGTCTTGGCTCCAAGCCCTCTGCCCCAGCCTACCCCTCCCCCATTTCCAGGCAGAGGGAGCCAGCGGCCAAGTACAGAGGCTGGGACTGGATAAGATCCCCACCCCCACTACTTCAGCGGAAGGCCTGTAGGGAGGGCATAGATGCTACACTGGGTACCAGACCAGCATGCAGCCTGCAGTTCAGGACTCAAAGACTAAGACAAAAGTTCAAGAACGCTCCTTTTCTGACTCCATGTCCGCCCTAAATTCACCTTTTAGAAAAGCACTTCCCATTGAAGGACTGAACAGGAGAGGAGGAATCTGAAGGAGACAGGACAGGGGAAGAGGAACAGGAAAAAAATCACAATTTTATTGCAAGAACTAGAGCAATTTGGGATCTCACACCCTTCTGAAGTTCAGTGGCATCCACCACACTGTACTTTGCTTCTAAAGCAATGAAATGGGTGGGAGGGACTCTCAGCTGCCTTCACCACCCTGAGCACCCTTCCTACCAGTCAACCTGCACCGCTCCAACAGGAGGAGCAGACTCAGAAGCTGAGAAATGCTGGGCCATCCTGGCACCTGCCTGGCTCAGTGCTGCTCAGAGCTGAGCAGGGCCAGCTACAAACCCCGAGGCCAACCCAAGGCTTCCGAATGGCTCAGCACCCACCAACTCCTGGAGAGAACGCTGTCAGCCACTCATATGCACCCTGGCTGGGAAGGAGGGCTCTTCCTAGCAGTGTTCAGGGCAGCAGTTTCCCTGACAAGCACAGCAAGAAGAGGGCTGTAAGGGGTCAGCGGAAGTTCCCTCACTTCAAATCTTTCCTGCTTCCTTTCACCTCCGCTTTCACCACCACGGGACCCAGCATGGTCTGCAAGTGGGGCCTAATCTGGCTGGAATTTCCTCCTCCACCCGCCTGGCTTTCTCCTCACAGTCTTGAGCACTCCTGACCAGGGGCTCTCACATCCACTCCAAGTGCTGGTCTGGGCAACCAGGCCACGTGCCACTCTGGAGCACCAGGGAGAAGGCTGTGGAAAACCTGCTGCAAGCCCCAGAGGGAAAGGAACAAGTACTTGTTAACCATTTGTCGAAGCCCGAGAGTCCCCACGCGCTCTTCCTCATGCCTCTTCGGGCCTCAGAACTGACAGGAGAAAACAAGCAGCTCAGGGTCCCAGGAGCCTGGCCTTTCTGAGATGAATGCACACTCACATCCCACCACCGCGCAAGTAGATGAGAGAGGAGGGCACAGAAAGGGGCAGAAGAGTTGCCGAAAGTCTTCCAATGCCCATTTAGTAATCACAGGCTGATGTCAGCAGGAGCTTGAGAGGTATTAGTGATCATCAGGTTCAGTGTTTTTCATACTTTTTTGGCCATAACCCTCAGCCAGAAAAGTACTTTACACAGCTACTCAAAAACACACACATACACACAAAACCCAAACAGAATTTCATGGAGCAACACTTCCTTTACTGTACGCCATGCATGCTTGTATCCTGTACTCTCACCCATCTGTCATTTTTTAAATGTTGATCCTGCTAATGGGTCACGACCCAATGTTTGAAAA